TTTACTTTTTTTATTTTCTGCGTATTCTGATAGTTTTTTGGAATTGGTTGTGATGAACAATTATTTCGTTAAGAATTACTTTCAATATTTCCTACAAAATGGTGCATTATCCTTGTTTAAGTGTCTTTAATTTTTATGCTAGTTCAGTTAGTCGAACGTAATCGGAAATGACCTGGCCATGTCGGGGGTTTAATGGTTTATCCAGAATATCATGTCTATTCCAGCTAGTACGACATAAATTAAATTCTATATCAATAATAGGATGCTGTCAGTATTATATACCTATTATAATTATGATTGAATTGAGTATGACTATTATGACTATGACAATGATTATGATTATTAAGGCTATGGAATATCACCTACCGAACTGTCTAAGCCAAGCGTGATGAGCATAATGTAGAAGATGATTGACCATGCTGTGGATCCCGGAAGGGTTGAAATGGCCTCAGGATACACCTCGAAGACAAGCCCAGGACCTGTACATTACATAAATCATCATAATACAAAAATATGATCGACCATACTGTGGATCCTGTTGGTTGAAATAACTCTGGATTCACCTTCAAGACAGGTCCAGGAACTGTAGATAGTGGTGAATCCTCAACAACCATTGTAATTTTCATAATCTATATAATTCATAATTGTATTTCTATGAAAAAAAATAGATTATAAACCGAATATTCCTAAGATGAAGTAATGACTACTGTAATGTGTTTTTTTTTCAACAATAAAATATGTATGAGGTATTATCAATATTATAGCTTTTACCACATTTTTGTCGTTGAAATTCACTCATATTAAATACAGTTAAATACACAATGGAGCACTTTCAGGAAGAACCACTGATTAGATAATATGGGTCAACAGGGTTACAATTTCTATAATCACATAAGGTCCGTGCCATAGAAATGCCTCATAAATTTAACCGTAGTGTTAAAATAACTTTTCCCCCTTTACGCCAAAACTGTCCCCTTAGTAGGGTGTCCCCTGAATATGGGCGTCCCAAACGAAATGCCCTAATGTAGCCTACTTAATCCTTGCCTAATATTTTGAATGTCAGGTTTGACCTCATTTAATTTTACACCAGTACTGACGATAGGAAATCTGAATACTATTCTTTTTAAATTAATAGTTAATGTATTAAAAGTCGGATAATGTACCGTAAGTTTCAAAAACTGTTATGTGATAATGTTAACAAATACAATTTTTATAAGAACTCAGTGTTCTTATTTTTGGCAAATTTCCAGCTCAAAATGTTCTTATTTTGTTCTAATTTTACACACGTTTCAAACATAGAAATATAATTACTGTACTGTATTATAGATGGTATTACATAGTCATGCTTACTGCACCTTCGGTGCAGGTAAGTATTGTTGGTTTTTCTATTATCTTAAATATAAAAACCTCATTTGACATTTTAATTATGTCACAATTTGTTCTTATTTATTATTTTTAAGCAATTTCAGTGTTCTTATAAAATTTGTTCTTTCAAAAAACGTATACAGACAATAATGTAAGCTGTATGATTTAAATAATTTGCTATTCGAAGTACTCTTTATATGAATCTATGATTCTATATGATATGATAATATTATTCTACTTAAAGGATTATTAAGTTAAATTAATAAATCGATAGAAACATACCGTCAGTAGCAACTTGGTCTATAGGTCGCTGTTGTTTTTCTGACATGTACCCGAGGTAAGAAAATATGACAAAACCAGACAAGAAGCTGGTCATGCAATTGATACTACTCGTTAACATAGCGTCACTACAAAAAAAAATACAAATAAGTATATTATTGTTGTTCCTGTTTGTGCATTCGTGTAACAAATTCTTAATATAGTTCTAATTAACTAAATAGCTTTATATCTTTATTGAAACAATATAATTAAATATTTCAATTGCTGTTTTGTTTATTTAAGTTATGTATGTATGTGTATGTGTGTGTATGTGTGAGTATTATGTATTTATACGTATATAATATATATATGTGTGTGTGTATATATGCATATATATATATAATATATATATATATATATATGATGTGGTGATGTGTGTATGTATATGAACATACTTGACTGCAGCATATCTGCATTCCATATAATACCTGTAATTATCTATAGTTCATAATATTTTCATACCTTTTTATTGCATTATTCAATCGGGGTTTTTTTTTAAATATTTTGTTTATTTTGGTAAATCCGAGTTTGACCGGTGACCATGCCGTAAAGTTTGTTGTCAAACTTATCTTGGTCTCCGTCAACACACTTTCATTTAATTATTCCTCCCTCTCCTTCTCAATCCGTTTTATTATTTAAAACGTATTTTATGTTGAAAGTTTCAACTTACTATGTTTACTATATTTTGTGTGTGGACAAACAATAAACAAACAAACAAGTATGTTATTAGCTTTCAATTCAAAATAAACCCTTAAAATATTTGTCTACCTAAATTATATTGGGGTTGGAAAAAAAGCAGGGGCGGATTTAGGGGGCCGGACTTCCCGCACCCTTTTTGTAAAGTTAAAAAAAAAAAAAAAAAAAAATCGCAGAAAATGCCTCAAGTTATTTTAGAAAACAGAAATTTCGCCGGAGCATGCCCCCGGTCTCCCTAGGGTAGTGCTGTCTCGAACAACTCCACTTTCGGCCCCCATTTTGGACATCTCTGGATCCGCCCTTGAAGTGGGTGATGGTGGAGCGATAGAAAAGTGAGGAAGTGCTAGCTGAGGAATGAGGTTATGTCAGGATTCGGCTCATTTTGAACATTATTTTAACTACTCTTAATGATAATTTTGAGGTTCTGAAAATTTTCAGCTAGGGTATTCAATGGAGTGGAATAAAAAAAAAATTCTTTATCGGTACCTCTTTTAGATGAGCCACTATAATAAACAACACCCGTGCATAGACCACATTAGTTTTGGCTGTAAATCGGCTAAATTGAAATGTGTTCATCTACGTCTCATTGGACTTTAAAGATTTAAAAAAAAAATGGTTAGGTTAAGTGCCCAACTCAATGTTTAAATTAAAGATGTTACCACATAGAGTGTTACTATACAACAGTATGCTATGAGTAATTGTTAACGAAGACATGGTTTGTTTGTTGACATTCAGAATTCCCAAAATGAAATTGTACTGGGTCGAAAATTGTCGAGCTGGTGGCCATTTCACACAGAATCACGCGTTAAAAAGTACTTTAAAAAATGTTTTAAATTTATTTACATACAAATATTGCACTTACAAATAGCAGTTGTTGTGAAACTGATTGTAGCTTGAAAAAGCAACATGGACTCCAAATCCAGCCCCTATAGAGTAGAATATTTGTTTAGCCGCATCAATCCAGACCTAAATACAAATAGTTTTAATATTAACAAAAATAAACTAAAACACGTTATATTTTCATTGCGGATTTTTTGGGCTCAGTACGGACTCTAAACATATGCATTTTCTTTTAGTTTTAAGGCGTATGCGGATTTTATAAGTCCGCAATGACGATATAACGTGTTCTAATATAGTCAAAAAATATATATTTGATATAATCAAATATTATATAAACAAATTCGTAATGTAT